GCTTTCTGTGATGATGCAGTGGGACTGAAATTCAGCCCTGTCCTGTACCCCAAGGTGAGCACCTTTACCCCTCCCCTTACTCAGGGCTTTAAAGCTTGGCACAGATTTGCACACCTGTGGCTCTGTAGGAAGGTCTCTGTGTCTTGGTGGGGTTTTATGGGATCTCCACGATGAACTTCCATGTCTCCCCTCTTCCTGCTCACCCCTTCACAAACCAGTCCACTGAGAACCCATCCTTAGCCATTTCTGGGTCTCTGGCTGCCTGAACTGGTCCCCTGCTGTGTGGAGGTGGCAGAGGTGTAGCAATGTCGTGGCTTCTCCACTTCACTCTGGTCATACCTCCCTGAGGCCAATGCTGGGGTGGGGAGTGGTTCTACTTCTGGCTGGGGGGCTGGTGCAGACCTGGCCAGCCCTCATGGAGGGGTAGGGGGCAGAGGCAGAATTCCACTAAAAAAATAAAAGGCCGGACCGCACCTCCTCATTGCCAATGCTACCACAGTTCTGAGGCCTTACAGGCCCCTGCCCGGCCCTAATTATTAAACTGGCTGGTTCTCTGTTATCCGTTTCCTGAGGATTGGCCTGATCTTGACCCCAGTTCTGATGTGGGTGTGGGAGTGGGGGAGAGGAGCAATCATAACAAAACAAACCAACAAACCCACTTGAGAACAATTATAGCACGACAGGACTTAAATCACCCACGGACAGTGAACTGCTTTAGATTGGCCACAGGAAGAGACCCCGTGCATGAGCCAGCAGGGTCTGGAGAGAGAAAATGGAAGCAGAGCTGTGCTTCTGAGCTTGCACGGTGGGCCAACTCGGTGGCAGCTGAGGCTTGCTGGGGCTGGTTCAATCCATTCCCCGAGTCCCAATTCTGACTACCAAGAACCACGAGGTGAAATGTTTGGTGGGAAAGAGAGGCCCTGTCCTGGCTGGGAAATCCAGAACTGCCTGGAACAAATGCCTTAAGTTCATGATTGGGCAGGACACGCTATTTATCCTTGTGCAGTGGCTGAGCTAATGGCACGGTCCTCTCCTGCATGGGGAATGCGCCAGAGCCCTTCTTTTCTCAAGCACCTCTTTTTAGCCCTCGGAGCATCTGTAGGCACTTAGCAGTAATATGCTACACTCCACTGAACATTTTCTATCATTCAGACTGCCCTCCTTTTTATAATTAAAGCTGAATTAGTGAGGTTTAACCAGACATTTAAACCCCATCATAAAGGCCTAACTTAACTACAAGTTTGGCAATTTTTGTTGTCAAATCGTATCCACTGAGAGAACCCAATAACGCTCATTTGCATAGTTCTTTCTATAACTTGGAAAGCCTCCTGCTCTGGTAATAATGGAGGAGCAGCTGTATTTTCATGTTTTCTATATTTGAAGGACTGCTTAGTCCGGCTGGGATGTGAATCTGGCCGAGATATGTGTATGTGTGTGTGTTTTTAAAATTCACAGAGTTTAGAACGTTCCTTGGAACATCTCCATGGCTGGGCGCCTCTTCCCTGGCAGGGCAGCTGCTCTGCTCCTTTGACTCATCCCAGGCTGGCGTGGGAGGCTCCCTCCGGGGTCAGCCAGCAGCACTCTTCCAGGGGGAGCTGAGATGTGTCTATTTCCCCAGGCAGCTGAGAGCCTTACAGAGAGATGTAGTGGGTGGCTATCTAACATGGGCCACACATTCTGGCCGACAAGTCGTGCCTGGTTTGTTCTTTCTGTAGCATAACATGAGGTCAAATCCCTCCTTTTTATTTCAGAGGTTACTCCCATAGCATCCAAATCTTCTCTTTCCCAGAAAGCTGTTCCACTCAGATCTTTCGGGGGTGGGGGGGGGAGGGTTACATAGATAATGATGATGATAGCTGCTCTGTGCTCAGCACTTTATGTGCCTGATCTCATTGAATCTTCATAACCATACATCTCCACTTCATGAATGAGGAAACCGAGGCCCAGAGAAGTTAACTGACTCACTTGAAGCTACACAAGTAAAAGCAGCGGATCCAAAGTTAGAGTTAAGTGTTTCTGACCCAAGATACCAACTCTTTGAAGCACAATAGAAAATTAGATAGAACCAGTGTAGGGTTTTTTTCCTTTCTTTGCATATTGTATTGGAGTTTGTCCCTCTTTACAGTGGTCTCCTTTTCGGCCTCTTATTTATGGATAAAGGGGGGTCAAAGTCTGGGTGGGAGCAGTACCTCGTCAAAGTCACGTTGCTGATGGCAGTTGGAATTAGAGCTAGTATCATCCTTGCTTGTCAGTTTTGGGGTCCTGGCTTCACTTTTTACACCACAGATAAAACATTGGGGTAAAGTCAATTGCCTGAGTCTTGTGGGACTCCCTGTGTGCCCAAGCTTTGGCTGGCACATCTGGATGGGGATGGAATAGGTGAGCCAGAGGTTTGGCCGTTACTGGGGGAAGCCCAGTGTTGAGAACTAGCTGAGACCTTGGGAGTGTCATCCTGGCCATCGCCTTCTGACTTTACTCTTTCTCTTCTTTCCCATGTGTCGATGTCTTGTGCTGGGCACATTCTCTACTGAAGTGGGTGCTTCCCCTTCCATTTGCTTCCTCACTTGCCTCCAAGTTGACAATCTGATTTTTTCTTCCCACGTTTTCCAGGCCTCCCAAATGATTGTGTCCTATGATGAACATGATGTCAAGAACACATACAAATTTGGAGTCATTTATCAGAAAGCCAGGCAGGTAAGAACCTCAAATTCGTACCAGTCACTATATGCTGCGGCTTCTCACCAGGGACTCATTTTTCCGTCCCCCAAGCACAGGAGCCCTGCACTAAATATTCTGGTTACAATGATCACATTTCAAGTATGAGTTAGACTGGAGGTGGTAGAATCTTCAAGGTAGACTACTCTTCACGCAAAGGCCTGCAAAGCCTTCAAATGGTAATGTAGTGTTCCATACAGTAAATTCTAATTATTTCAGCTACTTCAGTTTATTTTTATCTCTGGGCTGTTGGTCATAAGAGAAATCAGACTGGTTAGAGGGACTGGATTAGCACAAGTGGTTCTCTCCTTGCCCATCACCGTCCCACCTGGAAATAGCTTTTTCTCCCCAGACTTCAGTAGTATGCTGGAGCCAGCCGTGTGCCTCTTCTCCCAAGTCTGTGTTCAGCAACATCACATTTGTAGCTTGACATTACCTGTGGTGGAAGTATTTATACCATGGAAATCAGTAAACATCAGGGCTTCTGTTTTCCCTCATTGGAGAGCTGGTTGTTAAAAAATTTACCAGTACACCACTACTCACCCTCCTTTGTCTCCCGTAGCACTTACGTGCTACTTTTGGAGTTAGTTGACCGAATAGTTTCTCCAGGTGTGTTCCATGAGACACTAGTCTGGTGAGGTACTCTTGTGAACAAGTGACTTGGAGGGGGTTCAGTTGTGTAGGAACATTTTAAAGGCTCTAAGAATCCTTAAGGTAAAGAACTCTTTACCACTTTGTTGAACTCAGTGTTTTCCATACTTATTTGACCACGTACTACTTATCTTTCCTATCATGAATATTTGTTAACATCCTGAGAGTGGCCTGATGAACACACTGATGTTTCCTCACCTAGGTTTTATGAAAGAAGGATCCACACCCATTTTATCTTTGTATCATCCAAGATCCTAGGATAGTGACTTTCTGTAAATATACTCAAAGTTTTTTAAATTAATAAATGAGTAAAAATTTGGCCTTGCTAATGGTAGGTCGATAGTACCTTTCGGTATTATCTATGCTTTCTTTTCCTTTTTCTTTCTTTCTTTTTTGCATGCCAGTATCTTTCTGGGCTAGATGGTAGCTGACTTTCTTGTCCAAAGATATTAGACCACAAAAGACATGTGTTTGCTTAAAAAACATTCTAATTAAATGAAGAGTTTAGGAGCTGAAAGAACAACACAGATGAACCTTATAATTTAAGGGAGATTATTTAGGTAGCTGCTCTGATTATTTTCACATATTACATCTTTATATTGTACAGCTCTGCTAATATAACCCACCTAATTAAAGTTCTTTGCTTGTGAAATGTACCATAGCAAATCTCATAAGGTGATTATAATCCAATGTTCCAGCAAAGTTATAATTACAGAACATTAACCATCCACCTCTGAGAAGGAGTCTATCTGTCTGTTGTTTATGTACCTGATGCTGCTAAGGCAGGGTAGGGGCGTGCAGGGAGATAATGTTTTTGAAAAACTCGGCAGATCGTTATTTTGCAAACCTTTTAAAAAAACATTTAATATGAACATTTGTTGCACCAAACCCATATGCTAGTCGTAGGATATAAATAAGCTCATCTAACTCTCCTCTTTGTCAGGTACCATGCTAAGCACTGTGGGGGATACAGTGATAACTAAAACTCCCTTCCCTGAGTGTGTGATCAAGTTCAAGACCAGCATAACAATAAAGACAATGCTAAAACCAGGTTAGCAGGCTGGGTGTAAATCCTGGAGAGAGGTGCACATCCCAGAGCATAAACTGGATTGTTTTCCCAGTAAAAAGTGTAGATTGCCTGCAGGCAGCTGTTCTCCCACACTCTACCCCAATGACCTGGGGCGAACAGGATGCTAGGCTAGAGTTGGGATGCCTTCCTGGAATGCTGTAGAACTTTCTTTGTGAAGGGCTAGATGGTAAATATTTTAGACTTCCTGGCCTCTACTGTCTCTGTTGTAATCACACAACCCTGCCTCTGTAGTGCAAAAACAGCCTGAGACAATACATAAATGATTTGGCTTGATTATATTCCAATAAAACTTTATTTATAAAAACAGGCAGCAGGCCAGACTTGGCCTACTGGACATTAATTATAGTTTGCAGACCCCTGCTAGAGAGAAGTGTGTCCCAAACTTCAGATATTCACAAACCATACTCAGTATCTGTATATCATTTGTTCCACTGTTATAGATTTTAGTACAGCTCTGCTATAAACTACTTAATATGTTCTCTAAAACTTTTAAAAAATTTAAATGCCGTTATTTTAAAAAAAATAAATTTATTTATTTAAGTTAGTTTCAAGTATACAGTATATTGGTTAGACATTTATAATGTTCATAAAACGATCCCCCCAGTTGCTGCCTCCCTCCCCTGGCCCTCCACTTAACCATCATATTAACTGCATTCACTCTGCCATGCTCCCCATGCCCAACTATCAACTACTAATTTGTACTTCTTTAACCCTTCATCCCATTCTCCCAGCCTCCTAACCCCCCTCCCCTCTGTCCATCACCAAATTGTCCACTATATTTGTGAGTCTGTTTTTGATTAGTTTGTTCTTTTTGTTCCGTAGATACCGTATATAAGTGAAATCATATGGTATTTTCCTTTCTCTGTCTGACTTATTTCACTCAGCATAATAACCTCTAAGTCTATACATGTTGTTGCAAATGGTAGGATTTCTAAATGCTGTTATTTTTAAAGGAGATTTTATATTGATACTCTAATTGGAAAATTGGTATCATTTGAATGAAACAAAGATAATCCTAAGCAGAAATACTATAAACAATAAAAGTTAATGAAATCTAACTAGATTCTGTTGCTTTTTGAGTGCTTGGAACTTTGGATCTTGTTTTTTTCTTGTTATGAAACAGGCATTGGGGTGTTAATGAATCACTCATTGGAGACTTTCTCCGTGAAGTGATTGTACAGCATCTTTGTGTCATCTGAAGCTGTTCATTGCCGTCTATGGGTGTTTGCAGAGCCACTGAGGGCAGAGCCTATTGATGAGGGAAGGCCACCCAGTGTTTTAAGTCTGTCGCATTTGCAGAGCTTACTATGGTTTTCAGCTTTGCTTTCTGGTTTTTAAAAAGTTATTAAACTTTTATTTTTAGATATATGTAGATTTACATGCACTTGTAAGAAATAATACAGAGAGATCTTGTATACTCTTTATCCAGCTTCCCCCACAGATAATGTCTTAAAACTATAGTGTAATATCACAGCCAGGATGTTGACATTGATGTAATCCCTGGATCTTATTCAGATTTCCCCAATTTTATATGTGCTCATTTGGTGAGTGTGTGTGTGTGTGCGTGTGTGTATTTCATTGTATATAGTTTTATCACATGTTTAAATTCCCCAGTCAAGATACAGAAGAATTCCATCACCCTCTTTGCTTTTGGATAGCTTTGGTTGCCCTTTTATAACCACAACAACCTTCCTCCTGCCTCTGTGCTCCCTTCCTCCTCCAGTCTCCAACTCCTGGCAACCACTAACCTGTTCTCCAATTTCTAAACCTTTGTCATTTCAAAAGTGATTTCTAAATGGCATCCTATAGCATATAACCTTTCGGGATTGTTTTTTTTCCACTCAATGAGATTAATCCAAGTGTGGAGTATATCAATAGTTCATTCCTTTTTTGGCTGAGTAATATTCCATAGTATGGATGTATGTACCACAGTCTGTTTAACCATTCACCCACTGAGAAACAGCTGGGTGTTTCCAGTTTTTGGCTATCACGAATAAAGCTGCTTTGAACATTTGTAGACAGGTTTTTGTGTGAACGTAAGTTTTCATTTCCATGGGATAAATGGTCAGGAGTACAATTGCTAGGTAATTGATAATTATGTGTTCAGTTTTATAAGAAACTGCCAAACTGTTTTCTAAAGTAGTTGTTCCATTTTACATTTCTACCAGCAGTGTATGATTGATCTATTTTCTTCACATCCTTGCCAGCATTCGCTGTCGTTACTATTTTTTATTTTAGCAGATAATGCTAAATATGTAGATATGTAGAGATACCTCATTTTTTTATATCTCATTATTTTACTTTGCATTTCTCTAATGACTAATGATGTTGAACATCTTTTCATGTGCTTATTTGCAATCTGTATATTCTCGTGAGTGAAAGGAGTGTACATGTCTTTTGACTGTTTTCTTTTTTTCTCCTTTAGTGTGGTAATAGCAACTTTAATTTGAAGATTAATTGGAATAGATCCTAATCCTTAGAAAATAGAAGCAGAAGAGGCTACTACTTACAACCACAATTTTATATATCTCCGAACAATACAGAAATATTATAAGAGAAAGAAACTAGATTAAGAAGGCTGACTGTTGACTATTTTCTAATTGGATTATTTTTTACTGTTACGTTTAAAATTTTTTATAATAGCTTTATTGAGGTATAACTCACACACCCTACAATTCACAATGGTATGTGAATTACATCTCAATAAAGTATGCAGTTCAGTGGTTTGTAGTATATGCATAGAGTTGTGCAACTATTACCACTATCGAACTCCAGAACATTTTCCTCACCCCCCCAAAAAACTTTATACTCATTAGCAGTCACTCCTCATCACCACTCTGTCTCCTGTCAACTACAAATCTACTTTCTGTCTCTATGGATTTGCCTATTCTGGACATTTCATATGCATGAATTGTAGTATGTGGCCTTTTATGTCTAGTGTCTTTTACTTAGTATATGTTTTCAAGGTTCATTCGTGTAGTAGCATGTGTCAGTACTTCATCCTTTTTATGGCTGAATGATATTCCATTGTATGGATAGACCACATTTTGTTTATCCATTTGTCAGTCGATGGACATTTGGGTTGTTTCCACTTTTGGGCTATCATGAAGAATGCTGCTATTAACATTCGGATACCAGTTTTTGTGTGGACTTGTTTTTATTTCTCTTGGGTATATTCTTAGTAGTAGAGTTTCTGGGTCATATGGTAACTCTATGCTTGGCCTTTTGAGGAACTGCCAGACTGTTTTCCAAAGTGATGACACCATTTTATATTCCCATTAGCAGTGTATTTTTCCACATCCTCATCAACACTCGTTGCTGTCTTTCTTTATGATTCTAACCATCCTATGGGTGTGAAGTGGTATCTCATTGCAGTTTTGATTACTATTGAGTTTTAAGAGTTCTTTATATGTTCTACATACTAGTCCTTTGTCAGAAGTCCACCTATTCATTTTTCATTTATAGATCGTGCTTTTTGTATTGTCTAAGAACTTTTCAATTCAGCTTGGCTTTCTGAACTAACCAGCAGCCTTTGTTCAAAGCTAAAGCCCTCATTAACTAGCCCCGAAAATCCAGCTCTGTTGAGTGAGCCTCAGTCCTTCCTCCAGTGGAGGACAGAGCCACTGGATGATGAATGTGGTAGAGGATGGGGAGAAGGGGACCAGGTATCTGGACAACCACATTTCTTCCCTTGGCACCAAAAACGCTTTTCCTAACTCCTGCCCTGATCCTGTTTCAATTCCAGACCCTGGAGGAGGAGCTGTTTGGGAACAATGAAGAGAGCCCAGCTTTCAAGGAATTCTTGGACCAGCTGGGGAAAACGATCACACTGCAGGATTTTAAAGGGTAAGTTTTAGCCAAGTGATTGCTCCAGCTCCATGGATGAGGCCCTAGAGGAAGGACAAGGGGCAACAGCCGAGTTTCAGGGAGAGCATATGAGAGTTAAACACACACAAGAAATGAGATTGTTTTTCAGCAAGTGATCAACACTTATTCCTAAGGAAATGGTGGTCTAGGAGATAATCCAGAATGGCAGATTATCTGAAAGGTTTTGACATTTGGCCTTAGGATGCATGCTGAAACTGCTCTACCTCAGATTTGCCTTCCTAATTACATTTGGCTCAATCTGACTGTGAAACGAATCTATCTTCCCTATCACTCACCTGCCAGACATTCAGGAAAGAGAGCTCTGTGCAGTTTTTGGGGAAATGACCCATTTTGGATAACAAAAAGAATGAGTAATTAAGAGTTGGTGGAAATACGATAATCCATCTGGCAGGAATCTATGCAACAGTCTATGGTTCTTTCATTTATCCTGAAGAAAGGATATCAAGGCTACTGCTTGGAAGACTATGGCCCTTGAATTTCCTTGGTAAAGGTAGTATTTGTGAAGCGCCTTCAGAACTGGCCAGCCTGGCCAGTTCTGGCTGCACATGGCTGAGCCCTTAGAATTCCCCACTCCAGCAGCCAAATTAATAGGATTTCTTAACATGTGAAAGCAACTAGCTCTGTGCCTGGCAGGTAGTAGGTGTTCAGTAATTACTTTCTTGGTCTGCTTCCTTCTCTCCTTTTCTTCCTTCTCCCTTTCTCCCCATCTTTCTTCATCTTTCTTCCCCTTTAAAATCATCATTGCCGCCTGGAATCAGTCACACATGGGTTATAATCCCACCTCCACTACTTATTAGCTCTATGACTTCGGACATAGAGTGGCTTAACCTCTGCAAACCTGTTTCCTCATCTGTAAAAAAGGGAGATAAAGATAGTACTGATCCCACAGGTTGTTGGGAGATTAAAATAGATAAAATAGATAATGTTGGGGGATTAAAATAAACTAGTTTAAGCTAGTGCTGTAGACAGAGTAAGCGCTAGTTGTCATTATTGTTATTGTTCTAATTATACCACCTTCCATTGACTCTCAGATGCCATCTTTATAAGATGCATCCTGATTTCAGAGATGTTAAAATGTGAAAAAATGTGTCTCAGACTTGATGAAATATATTAAAGCCAGGAAGGACACCAGAGATCATGTCATCCTATCCCTTTGTTTTATAGAGAAAGAAAACTGAGGCCTGGAGAGATTAAGTGATATGCCCAAGGTCATGTGCTGATTTAGGGGCAGAAGCAGGTCTAGAACCTGGACTGCCTGACTCCTGGCCCATTGTGCTTTCTGCTGTGCTGGACCAAGCACATTTTCTTGCTCATATTATAGTGCCTAGGGGGACTGATGTCCAGGGTCTATTTTATTTCATTTTCCTAAAGGAACCTGTACCCTCCTCTTCTTGCTGAAGAATATGAGCCATTCTAGCAGCTCTATTCCGTAAAGAAAGAAGGGGCAGCTTCCCGAAGCCCACCCAGTTCCTTAGTACTTTTCTGTCCTGCCTGTGAGGAGATAGACAGAGAAGGGACCTCCTTGGATACCTCCAGGCTGAGTGCTGCTATAGTTGGGTCTCCACATCAGGAACTGGCTGGATAGAAGTCAGGCAGACTTTAGATGCTACCACAGGGCTCACCATCATCCAGCAGGATGTCCGGTTGCCCTGGCTCTGGGCTGAGGACTTGGACATGGCCTCGCAGAGAGCAAAGGCTCTTGCCCAGCCTTGAGGGCCTCTGGCACCTGGGACAGCATGTGCCTGGAATTGTGGGTGGATGACCTCCCTTTCCACATGAAACTGTGGTGTAGAGGGGACATAGCCAAGGCTTGAAATGGAAGTTCTGCCTTTGTCTTTTATATAATGGGTTTATAGTTAGAATGCCAGGGCATGTCTGCTCAGAAGAGCAGATCTGCCTGCTTTCTCTGCAACTCAGTCTCTCAGCCCTCAACGCTTCATGTCCTCTCATTCGTTCTCCACCCCCATGTCCTTAGGGAAGGTTGCCAAGTTGCCCACTAACCCTCACTGTCTTTTTTTCTCTGGCACTTGCCCTGTTTCTTTACCGACAGTTTCCGAGGAGGCCTGGATGTGACCCATGGACAGACAGGGGTGGAATCCGTGTACACGATATTCCGGGACAGAGAGATCATGTTTCACGTCTCCACAAAGCTGCCGTTTACCGAGGGAGACGCCCAGCAGGTAACCTGGGTCAGGAGAGCTCTGGGAGCCCCGAGGCGTGCGAGGTGAAAGCCTGCTTCTGGTCCCATCTACCTGAGGGACTGCGGCCCGCCTCCCCATTTTCATAATCAAGAGACCAGTCTGTTCAGCTGTGTTCTTCTTGTCAAAGCATGTTCTGTCGCGTTATCTTGCAAAGGCCACACGTCAACAGCCCTGTGCAGGAGGCGGGACAGGGCTCATGGTTATCCTACTTTGACCGATGAGGAAACTGCAGCTTAGCATGGTTAAAAGACTGTTTCCCATTAAATTAAGGGCAGAGCTGGGAGCAGAGCCAGGGTGCCCTGATCATGTAGAGTGGCGGTGAAGAGTACATGGTGGGGTCTGCAGATGGCAGCTTGAAGCTAGCTCTGCGCTTAGGGGTATGTGATTCTGGGCGAGCCGGTTAACATGTGGCTTCATTTTTCTCATCTGTAAAATGGGGATAACACCATGTCTGTCAGAGGGTAGTTGTGGGGATCACATATGGTTCTGAATTTAGGACTCAGTACGACGCCTGGCTTGTGGCAGGCTTCCTACCTAACAGCTGTTCACTCTCCAGGCCACTAGGCTTTCACTCTCCTTTCCGTCCCAGTAAGAAAGCTGGTTATTACATTAGACAGTCTCTGCCCCTCAGCTTTTCTAGTCTCACAGCCTCATTTCTCATCATACCTGCCCATGGGCAGAAATTCGGCCTCTGCCTCAACCAGAGCACCCTGGACAAGACCTCTGCTCCCTGAGTTTTCCTGCTCACCCTCTAGTTTTCCTGCTCACCCTCTATTTTGCCGCTTCTGACAGCTGCGTGTCCCAGGGAGGGCCTGGCTTTTTTTCACTTTGAGCCCTGAAACCAGCTGCTGATCCCTGGCTGTTGTACCGTTTGCCCCACCTCACTCTTTAGGGCATTTCAGTCTCTAGGAAAATAAAAAAGGAAGGTAGTCCTTTCAGCAGACTCTGACCCATCCGTTTCTGAGCAGGGAACTGGGGAGGGAGCACAGATGTCATATTGTAAACATAGTGCCTGACTTCTTTGGGAAAAAGGAAATTGGCAAATGAGACTGTGATTTGGCTCTAAAATAACTACTGAATGTTCCAGAAACAAATGGGAGCAGGATCCCTTTTGTCTCGTAAGTAGGTTTTCTCTCAGTGCTCTACCCTCAGTCTCTTTTCCCTCACAGCCCTCTCACTCCTGCCCAGCCTGAGGCTGAAGGCTGTTCTCCGCCTGGCTATCTTTCAGTTTCACCTATGTTAAATGGGAAGTATACAGAGCTTGGCTCTCAGCAAGGACTGAATGAATATTAATTTTCTGTTCCCAAGAAATGGGATGACGTGTGTGGAATCAGTGAGACAATTTGTGTAAAAATGCCCAGCATGGGGCTCAGTATATAGCAGGTGCTCAATAAATGAGCAACTCAAATTGAAACATAGGACCTGCATGCAATAGGTACTTAATAAAGAAACATGCATACATAAGCACCTAGACAAGACTTGGTATATAGGAGGGCCTTAACATTTGCAGTCACGCATGGAACAGCCCAGCATGGTTCCTGACACATAGTAGGTGCCTGGTGATCAAGATCGCCTGTGAAACACCTGGCAGTTTGGGATAATGAATCAGGGTTGGATTTCTCTCTCCCCCATGACCTCCACCAAGCCAGGTAGCTCATTTTTCTCTAAGCATGGCTCTTCTCCCCTCTGGTACAGAATTATCTGCCCCTTATCCCGACTTATACACATTTCCATCAAGCGCACCCCTTCCCCAGTCTCCTCTTTCAGGAAGCCTTCTCAGATTACCATCAGGCCTTTGACTTTGCCCTCTTCTCTGCACCCATAGTGCCAGGCATTTGTGTGCAGGAGCTGATTTAGTGCTTGCTCGCTTGTGGCTTTGTTTGTGTTCTCAGGTGCCTTCATCTGTGTTTGTGTCTCTCCCAGATCAGGTATAGTCTCTAGCAAGGCAAAACCCAGCCCTCACCTTTTAACTCTTCTCCCTGAGTCCCGAGTCAGGGCTCTGCACACCATAGAGCTCAGTGAGATGCTTGCTAACCTCTACCTAACAACTTAGACATCTTCCCCATTTTTTTTTTCTCTTTGATGGCTTCTAAAGATCAGAAGAAAAAGCTTCCTGGAGAGCTAGGTCTCAGAGTTCCAGGGTTTATGTATAAAGATAGAATCATGAGGAATTTCCTGTACAGATCTATTCTGCTTTTAGGATGTTCCTAACTGGCTTATAACAATGGATCACTCTTTGTTTAGCTCCAGAGAAAGAGACACATTGGGAATGACATTGTTGCCATCATCTTCCAAGAAGAAAACACACCATTTGTCCCAGATATGATTGCCTCCAACTTTTTACATGCCTACATCGTGGTGCAGGCTGAGAGCCCAAGCACAGAGACCCCATCCTACAAGGTAAAGAAAAAGTCTCAGTGGGGGAAGTACTGGTCCAGGCACCTCACCACACTTTATGAATTCAGTGATATCAAGGAATACCAGCTCTCAGTGGCTCCTCAGGCCATTCTCCAAAATGGCACTTCTAGCTTTTGGTGATTGATTTTCCACGGCTCTCAGGTTTCTGGGATTTGGGAGCTAGACTCTTGGTGGAAAGTGCCTTCTGAGGTCATCTCATCCATCTGGCTGCCTCCAGGCTTGATGAAGCCCAGGTACCCCTTTTTGGCATCTGGTAGTGTCATTCTTTAGAGTAAGGCAGAGCCGCAGAAGAGAAAGAAAGAGAAAGGGGAGAGGACTGTCAAGAAGGGAAGAGGAAGGAGGATGGTAATAAACAAAGGAAAGGAAGAAAGAGAAGTGTTTATGGTGAGAAGGGTGGAGAACAGGGCTTGGTAGACCCTGGGAACTGGGTGGGCTCTGTGGCTTAGCTGTTCTGGAATAAATGATCGGTCTTAATTTGAAGACTCAGGGGGGACTGAATACCTGGGTCTCAGCCTCCTGACCAATTAGTGGTCTTTCAGACTGACTCAAAATCCTCTATTGCAGATGAGCCCATCGTCCTCAGAAGCCCTTACCCTGCCCGCTCCTGGTGGCTGTATCACTAATCCACTCCTCCTCTTCTCCACGAGAAACAATCCCAACCGTGGGGAACAGTTTCTCAATATCACAGTGGTATTGGGGAGCATGAGACCCAAGGAAGATAGAATGAGGAAAGGTTTTTAAGGTGGATGTTAGAAATGTTGAGTTTATGTGCTTCTTTGCATTTTCGGGGAGAATGGCCATAGCTCAGGTTCTCAAAGGGCTGCCTGCCCCGCAAAATATTAGGAACTTCTATTATAGGAGAAGGGAAAAAGAGCCTGTCATTGCTAATGAGAAGCTCTGGGGCCTGAAAATGGTTCCTGTACAATAACGTAGGCTAACGCTGGTTCCTGGGGTTCATGAAGTTATAATGTTTCATGGCCATCTTCACAAAGTAGCAATTTTGCTTGAAGATGTTGGGAAATGGTGTTCTGTAATCATTTTATCAATACAGAGCCAGATATATTAAGTGCAAAATTCACATCAACTTTAAATCCAAATATGAGGCTTCGGAAAAAAAACCCCCAGACCTGCACACCTCTCTCCCATTGTGGAGAGCTGATTCTTTTCCATGTTCATGTTCATACTCCTCTGTCATTGTGCAGTTTTAGCTGAAAAGTTGGAGAAATCATGGTTTGAGCATTTCCTGGAAGGCTGCGGGATCACCCACTTTGACTGGAATGGGCATTCACTTTAAACAGCTGTTGGATTTCTTGGAAGCAGGTTTTATTCAGTCAGTGCCTACTATGTGCCATGGTTGGGGCACGTGGAAGTGACATATAGAACCAGCATTCAGGGAAGGGACAGAAGAGCCAGTGAGTGCAGTTCAGCCCCCTGGCTGTTTAAACAGACAGCTGGTTCTTTTAATAGGCAGTAGAGGCAGAGAGCTCCTGATTGGGATCCTCAAAGTAAAGCTGTGTGATAGGAGTGTCTCCCGGACCGAGCCAGGCAGTCATGTACGTATGTGTGGCTTTTCTGCTGGGCCTCTGCTGGCAGAATGGGGCCTCTTATGGAAATTTAGTATTTGTTTTTAGTTTCTGATAGGAAATAGGGCTCAGCTAACTGGCTTTTCCACTCTCTCAAGAGTTTCATGGAGTGAAACAATACGAATAAAAATCAGAGGTCCAAAAAAAACACCATCCCACCTCTGGCTTTGGTGCTAGAGGTCTTTACCAAGTCTTCTCAGCCACAGTCTGTGGTCCAGGGAAAAGCACTGTCCTCAGAGAGGTGGCGAGAAGCAGATATGTAGGACCCAGAGAAAGAGCCAGGCTGTCTCTGGGATATGAGACCCTGTGCTCTACCTGCCAGGAAAGCATTGAGGTTGGAGGGCAAGACCTATGAATGGGGGTCAATGGGCAGAGGGGGAGACCAGCCTTCCAAGGCGCTCCCCAAAGTTCTGTTCATCCATACTCCCAGCAGCATCCCAGGTGATCAGCAGACTGAGGAGGACCCGGTTAGATCCTTCAGGGGATCCAGGATGAAATGATACCTTAGCTGACCCTTGTGGGCTTAGGGGCTATGGCAAAGGAGGGTGAAGTTTCCCCAGGGGCTGAGCAATGCCCCAGGAAGCCCCCACTAGGAAGAACAAACAACAGAAAGAAGAGGAAAGGAGGGAAGGATGGGATGGGAATGTGCATTAAGGGGCCCCATACTGCTCAGGATCCTGGGGTTCTGGGCCTGGGCCTGGGCCTACCTCTGACTGCTGTGTGACCTTGGGCCAGTTTCTTCCCTTCCTGGGCCTCCTCTGAAATGAGGAGGTTGGACTAGGTAACCTCTGAGTTCCTTCCAGCCCTTACATGCTACAGGAGAGGAAGGAGGGGAGTTGAGAAACAGAGGTGTGTGTGTGTGTGTGTGTGTGTGTGTGTGTGTGTGCGTGTGTGCGAG